ATCCAAACACCATCATCTTAGGGGTTAGGTTTCAACATATGGATGGAGAGGGGGGACTAAAACATTCAGTCTATTATACATAACTAGAAAATTATAGAACCAGAATTTGAACCTAGGCAACCTAATTCCAGAATCTATTTTCTTAGTCATTGTGTTATACTGATGATCCCTTTATAATTGCTACAATTACAGCTGAAGTTTGTACCTGAAAATAAGATGTGGTTCTGCTTAAGGAAAGTCAGCATAACCAGTGAATCGTGCACTGATAACCTAGTAGAGGGATTCAAACTAAAATGTCTACGTAGCACCCTGGAGGGAAACTGCCCAAGTATAGTCATAGTGGTGAGGGAAGTGGTAAACTGGAGAATACATGCTCATTGTGAAGGAGACAACTATGCGTGAACATATCAGATATTTTATTTTGTTTGTTCGTTTTTGTTTTTGTCAAGAGAAGCCAGAAAACTGAATTTCAATGCAAAACTTCCAGTTTTTAAAATCACCTTGCTGTTAATGACCCTGCTTTATCCATCGTGGTTAAATTGAACTCCTGTATAATATAGCCTGGGTTTTCCTGCAGTAACCAACAACCTCCAAAGCCCAGTGGCTTAACACAATTAAAGGATATTTCTTGCTAATGTTACCTTCCTAACAGGTCAGCAGAAATCTCTGCTCTTTGAATGTTTCAGAGACTCAGGCTGAGGGAGGCTTTGTTTGAACACAGTTTTTACAGATAGTTTCAGTAGTGCAAAGGGGAACATGGGACTCATGTCCTGACCCTTAAAGCTTCTTACAGAAGTGACACAGATCACTTAGATTCATATTCCATTACCAAGAAATAGTCAGTGACCAAACTGGGAGTGGTGGCTCATACCTTTAATCCCAACACTTTGGAAGGTCAAGGTGGGAGGATTGCTTGAGCCCAGAAGTTCAAGACTAGCCTAGGCAATATAGTGAGACATCTCGATAAAAAAAAAAAAAAATTAGCTGGGTAAGGTGGCACATGCTTGTAGTCCCAGCTACTTGGGGGGATGATCACTTGAGCTTAGAAGGCCAAGGCTACAGTGAGCCATGATCGTGCCACTGCACTCCACCCTGGGTGACTGAGTGAGAGACCCTGACTCAAAAGAAAAAAGTTACTGACCACATAACTTCTAAGGGTCTGAGGAAGTACAGTCCTTCTGTGGGCTGAAAAAAGAAGCTAAATGTTTACTACTATCCCTAATGACTTCCATAGCTCCATCACTCTGATTTTTAAGGTAGAAATGTTAGATTTTTTTTCTAAGACAGAATCCAGTTTTCAGAGCTCTCAAACAAGTTAATTTTTTAAAAATATTTTGTTCTTGAAGAATTAAATTTGACTTCTCTGGGAAAATCCATATTTTGCTTAATTTGGATGAATGTCACTTATTTAAACACTATCTTCTTTAGCTGATTAGGAAATTGTATGCAGGCATTGTGAAATAATTTTTAGCTGAAGTGATGATATATAGATGAGTATTTAATCCAAAAAGCACTAATCATATATTTTAGATATTTGTTTATGTTATCCACAATCTTGTATAACTTGTCTCATTAATTACACTGTAGGATAAGAATCTTGTATTAACTTAAACTCTGTAGTGTCTGGCACTATAGAAAAAAATGTTTGCTTAATAGATGTTAATACATTTTACTGATATGTTTATCAAAGAGTAGTTAATAAATCACTATAATTACAGATTATTACTTCAAGAGATATCACAGAAGTTGAAAACATTTCAGGCTATATTTTAGAAGCTTCTTATGAATGATCATGATGGGATGTGAAAGCCAAACTTCAGTAGCCCCTCAGTTTCAAGGGCAGTTCTGGCTTATACCCTGTGATTCACAAGGCAACCAGACCATCTTTTCAAATATCATTTTTCTGTGATGTTTTCACATGCTTTATTTGGCTGTAAGACTTGGATGAATTGTAACTTTTAAAAAATTATGAAGCAAATATAAGTGCTCAGGGAGGTATTCGATTGCCCAAGGTCTTGCAAGGCCCTAAACACTATTGAAAACAAGCCTCTCCTAGCTCCTAAATCCACACCCTTCCTGGATGACCAGATAGAGGGTAATTCTCATTCTCATGAAATGTAAAGTGCTCAGGGACATGAATGTGTGAGGACAGAGCTTGGCCCAGGAACAGTGTTTCTATCATTTAATAGTAGAATTACTCCCCTTGGAGAAAGTTGCATGAACACAAGTTACTCATTGATTGAATCCCAACCATGCAAGTGTTTCCAAAATCAATCATTTTTAAGTTGTTCCACATGTACTTGTAAATATTAACATAATGGACTGTGTAACCTGTAACCAAGTTTTGTATCTACTGATACTTAAGGTGTAGGAAGGTGTAGCTTAGTGTGTTAAGATTCTGGAGTCAGATGATCTGGATTTTAAAACCACTACTGACACTCTATGTGAGCCATGTAATGTTGGCAAATTATTTAACTCAGTGATGTTTAGATTCTGTATTTGTAAAATGAAGATAAAAGATATCACCTATATCATAAGATTGCTCTGAAGAGTAAATGAATTAATGTGAATGATATGCATGGCATAATGCCAGCCACATGGTAAGCATTCAGCAAAAATCAACTGTTATTATTAATATTTTATTACTATTTTTATAAAATCATATAATCAGAGTTAAAGGATCTCAAAAGTCAATGGATTAAGCTACTTATCCAGTGATTTAATCCCCCCTACAATTTTCCCACCAAGAGGTCTCCTAGCCCATGACTAAACACTGTTTTATCTTATTGGATAACACTGACTTTTCAGACTTTCTCATATGAAACTAAAATATGCTTAAACCTACAGCTTTCACCATTTGGAAAGATGCAGAACAAATGTAGACCCTTTCCTCATGACAGCCCTTTGTGAATTTGAAAATATCTCCAATCACAGATTATTTTCTAAACTTCCTTGGACTTCTTCCTACCTCCCTCTGAAACTTTCATTTGATCTTTCTCCTTCCCTTCAACACCAAAATTTTGGAAAGAATAGTGTATAGATGTGGTTTCAGCTTCCTCCAGTTTTATTTTCTCTTCAACAGCTTGGTTATAGAGCCTGATTCAGCAACTCCCCAAGCTGAAGCACAGGGACTACCCAGTAGTCAAAACAAAACAAAAAGCAGAGAGAAATAATAAAATTGGCCTTTTAAAAAATTGAAACCTTTGTCATGTTCTAATCACTATTCTAAAAGTTACCTTTGCCAGGTGCAATAGCTCACGGCTGTAGTCCCAGCGCTTTGGGAGATGGAGGTGAGAGGATTCCCTGAGGCCAGGGGTTTGAGACCAGTCTGGTCAACTTGACGAGACCTCGTCTCTACAATAAACCAAAAAATTAACCGAGTGTGGTGGTGCATGCCTGGAGTTCCAGGTACTTGGAAGGCTGAGGTGGAAGGATTGCCTGAGCCCAGCACGTTGAGGCTGCGGTGGCTGTGAGCATGCCACTGCACTCCAGCCTGGGCGACAGTGAGACTCCAACTCAAAAAAAAGAAAAGTTACTTTCTTTTCCATTTAATGCTTAGTAGACCCTATGTGAAGTGTATAATGGTATTATTATCTCTGTTTTACTATTGTTGAGAAAATTTTAATTTTTCAACAACCTTCAGCTTGAAAGGGATGATCGGGGCAACCCCTCGGGTCCCCTCCCACTGTGAGAGCTTTACTGTCCTCCCAATAAATCCTGCTTTCTCAAAAAAAAAAAAAAAAGAAAGAAAGAAAGGGGTGGTGGGTGTGTCAGGATTTGTAAGTGGGCTATTTGGCTTCAAAGTTTCTGCAGCTAAACACTTGGCTTATACATATAAATAGAATTGGATGAGTATGAGGAGGAAGAGATAAACCATCAGATCAGTTCATACTACTAGGCACACATTATGTAAAAGACATGTTTGTGAAATAAAAAGAAATATAAGCCGGGCTCGGTGGCTCAGCCTATAATCCCGCGCCTTTGGGAGGCTGAGGTGAGTGGATTGCCTGAGCCTGCGGGTTCGAGACCTGCCTGGGCAGTGAGACTTCATCTCTACAATAAATCAAAAAATCAGCCGGGCGTGGTAGCGTGCGCCTGTAGTTCCAGCTACTTGGAAGGCTGAGGCGGAAGGATCGCCAGAGCCCAGCAGGCGAGGCTGCGGTGGCCGGGAGCGGCCACTGCACTCCAGTCTGGGCAACAGAGTGAGACTCCAACTTAAAAAAAAAAAAAAAAAAAAGAAATATAAGACACAGCCTTTTTTCTCACAGTCCAGTAAATACATACATACACATATATACATATGAAAAATAATTTAGCAGAGAATGAAAGCAGTATAAACATATTCTATGAGGCAACTCTCCTATTAATTCCTTCTTAATTTTAAAAAATTGTTTATAACTATATATAGATGTAATGACATAGAAGTGGAGATATGGAGAAGCAGGTATAGCTAATGATAAAGAGAAGGAGATACAAAGATACAGATAAAGACTATAGACAGGTATGGATACATGAATATAGAGATACAAGTATGTGGAGATAGAAATAAAAGCAGAGCAAAGGATATTTAAAGTAAAACTATGAACCAGAAGTATACACATCAATTTCAGGATAGTGTTTGTTTCAGGGAGGAAATGAGAGAACAAGACAAATATAGAGGTGGGGAGAGAGGGAAGGGAGAGGGAGAGAGGGAAAAGAGAAAACATCATCTACAATGTTTCATTTACTTTATATACTTAAAAAATCTATAAAAATACAAATAAATAGATAACAGAGGGACAGCTTTAATTCTTTTAATTTTGTGCGCCTTGCATTAGAGTTGTAGAAATGATACTGTACTATAAGACTTTGTGTCATTCTTATTTATACACCTATGCTCTCATAAAAGAGAGCCAATCCATAAACTTAAGAACAACGTTGTAAATAAGCCTCCTGAAGTAAATCGAGTTTCCCCTCCCCTGGCTTTTTGCCTGCCCTGACCACCATGCTTCTGTTGGCAGGCAATAGGCTGCGATCGGCAACTGGGAAGCAATGCCAAGGAAGACAACTGTGGTGTCTGTGCTGGCGATGGCTCCACCTGCAGGCTTGTACGGGGACAGTCGAAGTCACACGTTTCTCCTGAAAAAAGTAGGTTTTAAGCCCAGTGCTATGTTACCGTACTACAAGATGTGTTTTAGGTCGTCTGTTACTAGAGTAACATTTGTCTAATGTTGTTTAGTTGGAAATAACTTTTGACCAGTTTTCTAAAAGTCACGTTTCTTCAAAAAAAAGTATATAAAATATCAATTTTTTTGTTCCCATTATTCTTTCTGAGTGCCTGTTTCTTTGAAACTTTGCCAATAGAAAGTATAACTGTTCTTTAAAATAGTCTTCAATTTTTCGGGGAAATCATATGAGGGACAACCCACAAAAACCAGAATTTATTTATTTAAAAATTGTGTATCTATTCTTTTTTTTTTTTTAATTGTAGAGACGAGGTCTTGCCAAGTTGCCAGGGCTGGTCTTGAATTCGTGGGCTTAGGCAATCCACTCGCTTCAGCCTCCCAAAGTGCTGGGATTACAGGCTGTACTTAAGTCTGAGGTTTGTGGCTCCAATCTCTGCTCATTTTCTTTAAATTTTCACAAAAGCCAGTATAGTAGACAGTAGACTTACTCAGAAGCAGAGTTAGTTTAAAAAAAAATACTCTTATTCATTCAAAATATAATTATCTATGCTTCCTTCTTTTTAAAAAAAAATCCTTTAATGGACAAATACAGGGGTTATTTCTCAAAACCACTCATAACCAATTATGTAGAAAATTATAACCATTTACAGAAGTAGACCAAATAGATGTGGAAAACTGAAGAGGAGCTGTGTAAAATTGCAATAAATATTAGGACATTTGATCTTTGTCATAGTCCAGGAAAAAAAAACCACATTAACATCCTATTTGTTCTTACATGTTTGAACTTCAGTCACCTTCAAAGTACCCTCCATTTGAGGCAGTATACCTGTCAAGATGCTTTTTCCACTACTTTGAGTTTGTCAATTTTGATTTCTTTTAGTGCTTCTGCCATTTTTTGTTTTATGTCTTCCACATTGGCGAAACGTTTCCCTTTGAGGACTGTTTCCACCCAGGGAAACAAAAAAAGTCCCTCAGGGAGAGATGGATAAATAGGGAGGGTAGGGCACAGGGGTCATGCCATTTTTGGTCAAAAACTGCTGAGCACTCAGTACGGTGTGAGTAGGTACATTGTCATGGTGGAAGAACCAGTCACCCGTTTGCCACCTAAAAAAAAGAAAGAAAGAAAAAACTGAAACTGGACACAACTTCTCACAACAACAATTGATACACTGATGATGCCAGTGAGTTCCTAGAAGTTTGTACTACAAGGGACCTGCCCTCCAAAAAATAATTCTGAATTTTTTGAGTTCCCCCCTTGTAAAGTACTCATTTTTAAAATTTGCCTTTCTTTGATTGCTAACAAGGTGAAAATATTGTCATACATGTATTGAGACTATTTTTACCTTTTCATTTTTCAGTGAGCTATTGAAGTCATTTACCCATTTTCCTATTTGGATGGTGATCTTTTCCTCACCTTTGTGAGCTTTTTTTTTTTTTTTTTTTGAGTTGAAGTCTTACTCTTGTTGCCCAGGCTGGAGTGCAATGGCATGCTCATGGCCACTGCAGCCTTGACCTGCTGGACTTAGGTGATCCTTCCGCCTCAGCCTTTCAAGTAGCTGAAACTACAGGCTCACACCTCCACACCTGGTTAGTTTTTGTGATTTATTGTAGAGACAAGGTCTCACCAAGTTGCCCCGGCTGGTCTCGAACCCCCAGGCTCAGGCAGTCCTCTCGCCTCGGCCTCCCAAAGTGCTGGGATTACAGACCGAGCCACCGAGCCCAGCCCAGCTTTTAATATATCACAAATACTAATCTTTTATCTGTCATGCTTATTTCAAATATGGCTCCTAGTTTGTTTTTGACTTTCAATTTTGTATTTTTAGAATCAATGGTTTCTAAGTTTTATGTATTCAGAAATTTTCATCTTAATAATATCTGTCTTTTAAAAAAACCTTCTGTTTGGGGATCAGTAAACTTTCTGTAATGGGCCAGATGCCAAATGTCTTAGGTTTTGTGGGGCATATAATTTTTCTCATGTACACAGCACCGCTGTTGCAGTGCAAAGACCCACAGATACCTATAAACAAGTTATCATGGCTATGTTCCAAGAAAATGTTGTTTACAAAAATAGGCTTCAGGCTGAATTTGGCCCCCAGGTTATCGTCATTGTTGACCTCTGCTTTAAAGAGAAAACAATTAATCTTGCATATTCTCTCCTATCACTTTTATGGTTTTGTTTTTCTACTTTTAAATCTTTTATTCATTTGAATTTATTTTGGTGTAACTTATGAAGTGTAGGGATCTTACTTATTCCCTTAAGGTGGGGGAACATGGTAGGAGGAGTGGAAGGTATTTCAAGCAGAAGAAACACAAAATTCATGGCATTACACTTGAGGAAAGCCTGGCTCTTTGGAGAAACTACTAACAGGTTGCTCAGGCCTGAATGCATGTTGATAGGATAGAAGATAAGACAGAATGACCTTTGGAGTCAACCATCAAAACCTCCATGATTGCATTAATTTTCAGGTCAAATGGAATCATTAACGCAATTTAGGCAATGGAGTAACATGGCTAGATTTATGTTTTAGTAGAAATAATTCTGGTGGTTTATAGAGTCTATATTACCTGTGAGGTGAGCCTGAAAGCAGAGAATACAAATAGGAAGCTTTTTCTAAATACTCAAGAGTGTTTAAAATAATGAGGCCTTTGTCTAAGGTAGTGTGGCAGGAGATGTAGAGGAAGAAACAGTTGAAAAGATATTTAAGAAATGGAATAAGCAGAGTTTGGTCATTCTTTGAATGGAGGCTATAAGGAAAAGAAGAAACTAGAGTGATGCAAATGTTCCATGTTGAGCAGGTGGCTGGACATGTTTGCTGTTCATTTGGGTAAGAAATTCATGTAAAGAAGACATATCAAAGGTGAGGGATCACTTTCCTGGAATTTTCTTCTCTCTAGAATTTGGTCCCATAAATATTCAATACTTCAGCATCTTTCTGATCACTTCAAACAGATGTTGATTACATTTTGTTTATGGTTGGAGGGTTGATCTGAAACATGCTAGTTTATCTGGCTGATAGCAAAATCCTATTAGTGGTTGTTGGTGATCAGTGTGAGTCCACCCAATGAGAGCACGTAGACTATAACAGGACATCAAGAATTGCATCCTAAGGAATACCTGAAGTCAAGACATTTAGCCAGGGAAGAAGTTTAAGAGAATTCAACTAAGAAGGACTAAGAGTAGGTAGAAAAATGGAGAACTTATCAAGAGGAATATCATGAAAGCCAAAGGAATAAGCAATTCCAAAAAGGAGGCAGTAGTCAGCAATGTTAAATGCTCTTGTGACATCAACTGGAACAAGGGCCCCCAAATTTCTCTTTGGCAATTTGGAGGTCATTTGTGACACTAGCAAGAGTGATTTCAATGAATTTCAGGCTGAAACCAAAGCTTAATTTCAATGAGTGCCAAATGATCGCATGCCCTTATATACCTTGAATATAAATGTGGGTATTTGTAAACATATTTTTAAATCAACAATTGACCCATCTGGGGATTAGTTTTAAAAAATCCACCTATGAGTGTGGAGGAAAACCTTGACAGTGTCAAAAATGAGTGAATTATAGGAGAAACTAAAATTTAAAGACTCAGATCAGGAAGACAGTTTGAAGAGACAGACTGTCCTGAGAAGAGTTCATTCAGGAAGGCTTGTGGATGAGAGGAATAAAGGGTGGAGATAATCACCAGATCAGGGGGTTGGGGAAGTGACTAGAGTCAGCGATGGCCATAAAAATTTTGGAAATTTCATCAGAAAAACCCTCGTTTTGTCAGGGTCCAAGAAAGATTAGAAATCAAGATAATTCTAACTGAGCCAGGGTAGAAGCCAAGTGAAATTGTGCCAAGAAACTGGTCTTTTTTGCAGAGGCATGCAGAAGAGGTCCTGAAATGCAAGGTAGTTCATATTGTCTCTCTCTCATTGATTTTCAGATTTTAGATATGTCCTTTTGAGAGTCTATTGAAAGTTATGCATTCTCTTTTCAGGAAAATGCATGCATGTGTACTCATAAGCCCCTAATTTGCTGCATTTTTCTGATTTTGGGGGGTTCTCAAACCCTTGATGCACATCTAGAACATTCCAGATTAAGAACCCCCTAAAATGTATAATTTTTAATATCAATTTCTGTGAAAAAAAGGGGATCTGAAGCACACAGATCCTTCAATGTAGGGTATGAGTGACACGGTATAAGCCAGAGGCATCCCTCAGGAACTGGCATTTCATCAGTTTCTGCATACATATGCTTGAGCTAAAGCTAAAAGTAGCAAGGTAGCAAGGATTCCCACCTGCGTGAAAACATGATGCTCCATGTTCTTGATTCTCATTACAGCCTCTTCATGTCTGTTGCTGCTCTGAAACTGGCCAGCTAAAGCCATTTTTTGGCTGAAGTTTTTCCTAGGCCATATGGAAGCACTTCCCCATAATCATGCTTTGTGTGAAATAAATGTGGGAAATGAAGCCATGTCTCCCCCTGAGTGTGCATCACTGTGGCCTGCAGAGTCCACATAGCTCCTAACGTCTACACCTTGCCAAGCAATCATTCCTATCTTCCCTGGGATTCACCCTGAGTCAGGACATGGCAATGAGATGCTATTGGCACAGCCCCATGCTGGAGAAAGTGTACAAGCTGTACACAGGATATCGTTTCCATCATGTAGTGAGACAGACACAAGGTGTAAGAGCCTGGAGCCAAAACCTTTGCTATGAGAAAAATCAGAAATCAATCCAGATACAACACACAAATTTCCTGTTCAGAAGGAGAAGGGAAGAGACGGAACTAGCAATTGGCATAAACAACTTTGGAGATTGGAAAAGGGAACTAGAGTCCACTCAAGTTTTAAAGAGAGAAAGCTCTAAAAACATCAACAAAGAAGCAAACACATTTGGAGAGTCTTAACTTAGTTGTATTTAGGGACTTCATTGTATTTCCAGGTTTGTCCTTTATTTTGGTTTTGTCCACATCAGAGCACAC